AATTGAATCATCGCCCCCCAGGCCACCTAATAAAACTAATCGGGGTCAAACAGTCAAACAGTCGGTCCCACACCTGAAACGCCCCATAAAAGTAGGCTACACTTTGTGTGAGCACTCACCCAGATCTGGAGCTTCACGCGCTTGTCATGCCGAAAGACGGTCTTCACCTTGAAGTCAATGCCCACCGTGGAGACGAAGGCGGATGTGAAGCTATCGTCGGCGTAGCGGAAGAGGAAGCTGGTCTTGCCCACGCTGGAGTTTCCAATGATGAGCAGCTTGAACATGTAGTCGAAGTTCTGGTCGGCAGCATCCTTTTGCCACTTTGGATCTCCACCACTAGCCATTATATCTGTCTACGGTTTTTTTTTCTGTTGAAAATATATAACCAAAATTCAACGATTAGTAAGAAAGAGTATAAGTTATAATGCAATCCTTAAAATTCGAAATATATCATTTTTATTTTATTCTACAGCTTGTGTTTTGTGCCTAATGTATCCATTCACATATACAGACCACTATCCTTAGCAGAAAATCCCATAGCTTTTTTAGTCTTTGCTTTAGCAAACTTACATATTATGAAGATATTCTTCCTACTAGTTAGATTTAAGGAAAAGTACATGGAACCTTTGTTAAAAGTAGTTTTTGCAAAATGGTGCCCCATTTTATAGTTCATATGATGTTGCAAAATCTTTACAAGGTCTTTACTAAAATAGTTTGTATTTTGTTCCATTATTCCGATTCAACAGCAAAACAAGTAATCAAATTTCTAAGATATGCTTTCTGGGTATCAACATTTCCCAGTGATATTTAAAGTTAAATAAGGTGCCTTGCCCCCAATGTCAACTCGTATCCCTGAGCAGAGAACTCGTTAGACCCCATTCACATAAACACATTCGCCTGAGTAACAGTGATAGACTTCGAATCGGAAACTGGAAAAAAATAAGCGGAAAATTTAAAGGGATCGCAACGTTGCATTGATCGAGTTTGTTTTTGGTACGTTTCTACCTTTTCATTCCGTTTCTGTCCCATGTTCCTTGGATCCTGATCCGCGATTCCGAGATCCCAAGATCACAAGAAAGATGTTCGACACCACACTCGGAACAGTACTGGCCCTACTGGCCCAGCTTATCTGGCTGGTGGTGACCCAAGTCTTAGGGCTAGTACTCCAGCATCCGCTGGTCACTACTATATTTTGTCTGGCCGTGGGCGTGGCATGCCAGGCTGATCAGGAGGCGCTCAGGGAGGGCTACCAGCGAATGCTGCTCTGGATGAAGGCTCCATTCCGCTTCACTTGTGGGATTAGTTCCCGCTCTGATTGTCTATCTGTGGGCTATGGCTACGACATGGATCATGGACCACACACCTGGATGGGCAAGTCGACAGGACCTGGATGCCAGTCCCTGGAGCAAGAGCCGTCCTTCCAGAGCCCGGTGAACATAGACGAGAGCCAGATCCAGCGCCTGGCCATCCGGGAGCTGCTCAACTGGAACCACTATGACGACCTACCGGCCAGCATCCAGCTGGAGAATACTGGACAGACCCTAGTGCTGCGCGCCCAGTTCCATGGCAATGCTCCGACCATCAGTGGAGCCGATCTCCTGGCCAGCTACACCTTTCTGGAGCTGCGCTTCCACTGGGGCTGGTGCAACAGTGAGGGATCCGAGCACACTATCAACCACCGCAAGTTCCCGCTGGAAATGCAGGTGATGCACCGGGCGGGATCCGGAGTGCCCCGGGCCTGCACCAGCAGCTACGACCTTCTGATGATTGGCTATGTATTCGAGCTGTCGGCCCATAATCCGTTCCTGGACCCGCTGGTCCAGAATCTGCGCCTGGTGCAGCAACCGGGAAAGCGAGTGGACATCCCGCCCTTCCCACTCTCCTATTTGATGTACGCTTTCCGCACAGGATTCTACTCTTACGGTGGCTCTCTTACCCACCCGCCCTGCTACCAGGGCACCGAATGGTTCATCTTTCCAGAATCCCTCGCCATCAGTGACTTTCAGCTTCGCCACTTCCGCCTGCTGCTGGGCTCGGATGGAATATCGCCCATTACCCGTAACTGCCGCCCAGTCCAGCACATGGGCAACCGGGTGGTCAACCTAAACTGCTTCTGCCCCTACGATGCCGCCCAACTGGCCCGACTGCACGTGGAGCTCTGCCAGCAGCAGGCTCAGGAGGAACAGGAGGAGCGCCTAGAGCAGGAGCGCCAGGTGCTACTGGAGCGGGAGAGGCAACTACAGCGGGAGCGGGAGGCGGCTGCCATCGCCATCGCTTCCGAGGACGAGGGCCAGCTGGTGGAAACCATCGACACTACTACCATCATTACGAGCAGCAGCAATACTAGCCTCTGTATGACCACATTGATGCGCAAGGACATGCCGCAAATCAAGGAACAGGAACAGCCACAGAACCTGGCAAACATGGCTCCTTCCGTGCCGCCGCAGATGCACCATCGAGCGCCTGGAATTGTGATTTTTAGCGGTAGCAACGAGGCCAAATGCTTGCCCGGAAAGTGCGGCCTCCAGCTGGACTCGCAGGAGGAGCTGATAAACAGGGAGGCACGAGGACCGGGCTTGGGGGTGAACGCCAGCCAGAACGGCTGCAAGGCCGATGCCATTTGTGGCGTTGGCGATGGCGTCAACATTGGACTACGCATTGAACTCTGCGAATAGGACTGCCTCCCGCCCTAGCCCGGGATGCAAAAGACACTCCATTAGTTGTCCTAGCTGCACGCGGAACAAGAGCTCTCCAAGGGGAACTGAAAGTGGACATGGAGCAGACTCGTCAAGGCCGAATGGGGGCCAGCTGCTGCTCTCCATGCAGGGAACTAATTGAATCGCGTGCGCGTGGATTAAACAAGTTGCGTTTATATTTTCTGAAGCATAACCCAGCCCTTTTGACATGTGACCCAAAAGGGATGGGACATGATGGCTAGGATGGGGTGGGCGCTATCCTCCCTACTTGATTATCCATGGCTGTCACGTCACTGGGAAAGCTCAAAGAGAAACTGCTGCCGGGGAGCGGGCCGAGAGCAGGAGGTGGAGGGTTGTTGTGCGGCCTTGAAAACTTTCAGCCTTGACTTGGCCAAAGTGACAACGGTCTCGGCTTACTGTTTGCTGTTCTCGGTCTGCCAACTACCAACTAGCGAGTTGCTGGGTCGCTTGCCTTCCATATGCAAACCAGCGACATTGTGTCGATAATTTGTGTGTATAGGCAACTCCAGCTTCCGCCTCCCGTTCCAGCAAATCAAAAGTTGCGCAGCAGCGAAATGCTGTCAGATTGCTGATGAACGACATCGTCAAGGCTTTTGCCTGCCACGGCGTAAGGCAGCCCGGAGGAGGCCCAAGGAGCTGCCACTGGACCGGGCTGGGTGGGTTGGATTCTGTGCAGGCTCCGGAATCTCGGGGAGGGCAGCCAGGACGCCCTGCCACTGACAACTGACGGGCCCGAGTCAATAAGCGCCCGACTCTTATCAGAGGCGGTGGGGAAGTGTTTTTATCTGCTCGCCTGCGTGTAATTATCGATTTTTTCTGTTGTTTTTCCCACTGTGCGGGGGTGGCTCTCCACGCTCCCCCACCTCCCCCTGGTTACTGCTCTTTCATGTTTCAAATTTCCAATGATTAAGCAGCTGTTGAGCGGGCAGCAGCTGCGGGCTAGTTTAATTATTGATAAGAAACCCAATATTGGCCGAGAGCTGGGCTCAATTTCGGGACTAATGGTTTCCGTGGGAGCACATTTTTCGCGAGGAGATCCCTCGACCCGTTTAGGGGGTCATTGCTTGGCTTTGATTGCACTTTCGGCAGTCTAGGAGGTCACCACAAATCAAACTATGGTGGCTCTTCCTAAAAGGCTCTATATGAAATGCTTCGATAGATACAACAACAAATCTACAATGACCTGAAAAAAGCAGTGTGTTCTGCGTAAATATTTGCTATCTGTATGGTTTCTGTATCACAAACCAGTAAACAGGAATAAATTAAACAGCTAAACCACCCGCATATGCCAAAGGCATACCACACGAAGGCTACATGGAACTCAGCTACGCACACAAGTAAGTGGAGAGGACCCACAATTCCCAGCTTTTGGTCACTCATGGCGTATACTTATTGTGTCAGATGCACTTACTCTGTCTTGAGGTTTGTGTGGTTTTTCTGCGCTATTCCTGCTGCTGTTGCAGTTGTGGATCCTTTTGTTGTTGCTGCTCTCCTGTCCAAAGATCCTGCTGTTGTTGACGTGGGCGAATCCCCTCAAGGAAGTGTGGGCGCTCTGTTGTTGTTGCCCGCACACATACACATACACACCAATCGATAATCGCAAAGAAAGCAGCTCCTTTCGACTCGAATCAGCCTTGGCACTGGACTGGCATACGCCGCGCTGCCTTTTGTTTACGATTACCCAATCAATTATTCACGCCCCCGCTCGTCCCGCTCGGCTATCCAATGTGTGAGTGCCTGGGTGTGTGGCTGGTGGGTGTCTCAATTATTCAGCGGATGCAATGCGACGCCTGCAACTGTTTCACCTCTTTTTTCACCGTTCGTTCGCTTCGACACGTCGACTCCAAAGGACACACACAGAATTTTTCCTCGGGCGGCGAATTGGCTGCTGCGGCGAAGTTAACGGGAAAGTTTTGTATACGTTTTCATAATTTAACTGTTTCAACCTGACTGACTACTGCCCACACAGTTTCCCTGCTAACTTCTGCTGCTGCTGCTGCTTCTGCTGGTGAAAATCGATGGGGTCCCCGTGCCTGGGTTGCCTGTTCAAAAAACGAGTGTGGGCGTAGCTTTCGCGGCGAATCCCCGTCGAGCTTTCCATTCATGGCCAAGACATGCGCACTGGTTTTGTCCAGACGTTTTCCAACACTCCCAAGCCGAGCAGTTTGAAATTACCTCGAAGCTCATAAATGCAAGGACATAAACAGCCGATAAGTAATCTCGGCAAATCGTTTAAGTACGTCCCATATACCAAAGGCAAGAAAGGGGCAAAGATCCAACTCATATGGGTATAACAAAATTTAATGGCCAACAATTAACAATTAATTTATCACCTCTACAGCTTGCTATTCCCGGCTAGGAGATCGCGAACCAAGCCCACTGCGTACTTGGCCGTGCCGGGCGCAGTGGTCACGCCGTAGCCGCCGTGTCCGTAGTTGTGAACCACCTTGAGGCGCCGCCCCTCCGAGTTTGTAAGCAACTCTGGCTCCACGCGCACCACCGAACGATGAGGACGTAAGCCAACGCACTCCCGAACAATCTCCGCCTTTCGCAGGCTGGGCAGAAGGTCATAGCAACGCTCCCGGATGGCCATGCTATCGTACTTGCACCATTCTGTGTTATAGCTATCGAACTGCCGACATCCGCCCAGGGTGACCGTCTCGAAGCCGGGCAGGATATAGGTGTCATAGTCTCCATAGAAGGCGGTCTTCACCCACGGCGCCCGCACCTTTAGCACCTGACCACGAATGGGCACCAGGTGCTGGTCGCTACACAGTTCCTTGGCGCCCATACCAGTGCAGTTGAGCAGGACATCGTAGCCTTTGGGCACCTCAAAAAAGTTGCTAACATGCTGACGGACTACTTCACCTCCGTTTTCAAGGAACCTGCGAAGAGAATAAATAAAATTTAAATAAAATTAATAAACCTAGTAATCAACTCACTTTTGAGTGGCATAAGGCAGGAACAATCGACTCTCCGTTAGGCAGGTGGTGAAGAATGAGCCGTACTTCCAGCCGCCCTGGCACAGCTTAAGCTCTTCCTCCGTGGCACGTCGGTAAACAGGCAACAGCTTCTCAATAAAGTGATTCTGAAGCAGTAAACAAAAGTCGTTCAATTAATCGAATTAAGCTGCCAGAGATAAGAATCACTGATTAGGTCTCGCTAGGCAACTATTGCTTACCCGCACGATTGAGGGGGAAGTACGGGAGTAAATGTATCCAGAAAGCTGGCACACGCCTGCCAATGGAGCTTCCTTGGAGCGTCGCAGGTCGTCCCAGTAGTTGAAGGCATCTGTCATCCACTGCCTGCAAAGAGCAATCAAGTTTTATGGACCACGAAATATGAGAACAATCTCCAAGCGATTCTTACTGCGTAATTTCCTGGGTGGGGCCCATGAAGCTAGTGCCCGGCCGGAAGATCCCCGCAGCCACATAGCTCACGGTATCCTCATTGAACCGATCTGCTATCACAGAAACCCTTGCGGTGGGAAACTCCTTCTGCAGCTCTAGGGCTGTGGTAAGGCCAATGATGCCACTTCCCAATACTCCGAAATGCATGATAGACCTGTTGTGCTAAAGGTAATTTTCCAGTCTTAATCCAAACGAGGCCGGTGCGATACTGAGAGCGGAGAACTGCAGCGCTCGGTTTTAAAGGTGCCTCCTAGATAGTACCTCGCTGCAGCTTATCACCGGTTTCGCTGCTCTCCTCTCCCATGGCGTCTTGATACCGTAATCTAAGGTGGTAAAGTAAAAACTGATAGGTCTTGTATTAGTATGCCATCCATACCAACAAACTCTAAACACAAATGTAATCTAATTAGACTTTGTTTTGATTTTGACCATCAGGATTGATAAGAAGAAATCAGCTGTTTCAAGACTGGAATGTGACCGTTTAATTTCAAAAACTTCCAGTAGGAATCAAAACAAGGGGAAAAAATCAAAAACAAACTATACTGTTTAAGGTTTAAATTCTGAAGTATTTCTTTTAATTTGAATTTTAATTTACAAATATTATCGACAAAGTCCTCTTATGGTTAAAAATCAATCGATGTAATCTCACGCCAATAGTTGGCTATGTTCATTCGGAAAAAAACCTTGTCAAACGAGACAGTTAAGTCGAATAGGCACTAATTTTGTCAATATATTTCAATACAAAAATAAAATTTTTAGTGTCCTGCGGTTATTGAAAATCGAAAAACTGCAAAATCCGAACCAACAGAACAGCTGCTCGGTGCAAGTGCGGTATTTTCGTGCGCAGTTGGTGAGTGGGCGTTTCGCAACACTGCCTTCTCAGAGGGTCACACTGTCGGCTCTCTCGACGATATTTATTTTTCTAATAACATTTGGCACTGCTTAACAACATAATCCCCTATCCCCCCCACGTACTCAATTAGCAACGATAACGCCCTCGCAAGAGAAGCTACTGGCAGGACCGGACCAAAACGGAGTAGGAGCCGCATCGACGTCAGCACGGAGCTTCCCAGGAGCAGCATGTCATCGATGTCGCCCAGTGAGGTGAGGAGCTGGGGGCTGGCTTATTGGGTTTCATGGGGAAGAGGGTGCAGGGTGGGGCTTACACAGGGGGCGGGACAGCTGTGCCAATGTTTGCGATCTGCGATCTTTCACTGTTTCTCTTCCGCCTTGTCTGGTCTGGCTGGCCTGGCCTGCCGTGGTTCAACGTCATCTTATCGTTTCAGCAAGCGAGTCTCTGACGCAGCTTTCCGATAAGAAAGTCCAGCTCGGCTTCCTTGAGAACTGATATTTATTATATAATGCAGCTGAAAGAGGCGGTTCTTTGTGACGGCGCCGGACCTGGAGGTCATCGGTTCCGAGCTGCTAATTGCCACCCACGACAGGTATCAGATGCACATACCAGGGGCCTCTTCCGCGCAACCGACTGGTAATTGTTTACACGGCATCCATTGCACCTTGTTTATGCCAAGTAAACAATGCAGGGACAGGCGAACCATCCATCCTAGCTGGCGGGCCACTCTTGCTCTCTCTAGCGAAGACACTTCACTGCCTCCACCCGTATCTCTTTTATATCGCTCACTCACCGAACCTCTGAAAATAGAAGCTCATCGCCGGCGACCGACCTCTCATTCAGTTCTCGATGCCACGCGAATTCGCACGCGCCGCTCCGCCGAATCCGCGAAAATTAATACATAATCCGAAACTCGATTTGTGCAGGTTCAGCATTGCCGAAACCAAACATTGATCACCGTCAGTCTGCTTTTCCCAGGGTTCCTCTGGGCGATTACCAAACCGCCGCCTCTTGGCGAATTTTGGCACGCGCTCCACATATTAATTGGCCGGCGCTCCCAGGCCATAGTGGCGCAGGAAGGGATGGGCGGCGGTGGCTCTATAAATACGCGCGACGAGAACCTGTCTAAGAACATCTAGTTGACAGTGGCGCTGGTCCCAGGCATCATGAAATATGCATGGGCACATTCTGCGCGTCGATCACAAAGAGTCTGCCACCACAAAACAATGTGGGGCCATAAGGAAGTGATTTGCCTTCCGAGACCCTCCCACGTGCATCAGAAGGCAATCAAAGGGGGAGTTTAAGCCTTAATGGCAGCTTTTACAGCCATATGGGTGCAATCCATCTCTGTTTGCCGACACGAGCTCGTGTTCCCTTTATATTGTCGCCAAACTAGGCGCAATGGGGTTATCGTACTTGGTGACCTGTGGAACGTGATCGTTAAGATTTCGCTGACAATAGGTATTCCTAAACGAGTACCTGCGCAATTATATTTGCGTTGAGAGGCGGCTACTATACTATGCTAATATATTTTGTTTAATCGTCCATATCAATGTTGTTTTTAAAAATTCATAAGCTTATTCTATGGTATATCAGTCTATCAGCTGTTAAAAGACAAACTAGTTTGTAGAAGATTTTATTAGTTTATCTAGATTTGCATAAATTGAGGGCACCACTTGCTCAGGCACAGCCAGCCATCTGATTTCCTCCGCCGCCTTTCAATCTTTTATATTGATTTCGCTCGTAAATGGCGACATGTTCCATTGAAGTTTAATTAAATAGCCATTGCCTCTCTGACATGCTATTGTAATTGCACGCCCCTTTCCCGTGTGAGCGGCAGCAGCACGTCCTCGGTTCGATGGATTGCGCTGCGACTTGATTAAAAAAGAACACACTCGTAGTGTCTGTATCAGCCGCAATCAGTCCAAGAAGACGATGCTCTGGAAGCGGCCTGGAACTTGTTGCTCATCCGCCGCGAACGTGACACATACCGCTGCTACCTGCCCAGATGATAAACCCCAAACTGGCGCATCAGGTTTTCGTTCTTATTTTCATCAGCGGCAGAAAGCACGATCTCTGACGTCACTACTGACTGGCTAACGAACTGATGACGTAGGGGATGGTGTATCGATTCCGGCAACGTCGGCGAAGGGCACACGTTGCTTATTTGGCAAGTTTAAGGCTACAGTGCACACATAATCAACGGCCCTCCCCTCTTAGTGTTCTTCCGCTTCTGGCCGTTGTTTTTCCTTGTAATGCGCTTAGCATTTCTCCGGTTCAGGAAATCGCTTTATATGGCTTTGGGGGCTGGGTCTGGGTCTGGGTCTGGGTCTGGGTCTGGGACTGGGCCTGGGCCTGGGCCTGGGCCTCGCAGTTGCATAATTTGGCCAGAGTGGGGCTTTCGCCGGGTAGTTTGATTTGTTTGCTTTGGCCTGGCATGATTCAGAGTCGAAGGTTGGCCAGCAAATACAATTTCCAAACCGTTTTCGAGGGCGTGATTCACGTCCGCCCCCATTTCACCTGTTTATATCGACGCTAATCGTCCTTCACCCTCTTGGCCGAGAAATTTGTGGGTTTATCAGATGCCCACAAGCACAAGCTGTAGCGTTTATCAGCCACAAGGTATTTCGGCTTTGGCACGCTTTTTCATCAGCCACCTCTGGATCTGTTTACTCAAAAAATATTCTCGGAAATTAAAAAAAGAATAACAAAAACAAGCAGTCGTCCCCCTAGGCCCGCCCATCTGTCTGTCAGCCTGGGTGGTTTATTTGTTTACACTTTGCGCTGCGGCTGTTGGGCTTTATTGGCGAAGAATTGGCCGGGCCATTGTTGGCCTGTAGGCTGGTGCCACAAAATTCCCTATAACTTCTCCTCGCAGACTTTGGCATTCGATTGCATTTTATTTATTTATTGCTCTCGGTCTCGGTCGTTCTGGGTGATTCAAGCAGCTTTTGTTTGGCTCTCCGCGCTTGATAGAGTCTAAAATAAACGCATGTAACCCCCGCAGAGCTGGCAGTGTGTTTAATGGCCTGGCCCAGTTCGGAATCTGGGCATTTGGGAACCACAACACACATTACTCACTGTCTACCAGCTATACCAACTATGTATCTAGTGGCGCTCTGGCTAGACCAGTTTTTCTGTAAGCTTACATAATCGATCATATGGGCCACTGCTTTATTGGCTCTAATCATGGGTCGTCGGTCTTCATTTCATCGAAAGATCCCATTGTGGCATCAATTGAAATGCATGATCCATTGACGTAGGCTTCCCAGAGCCCACTTGACCACTTGCTTCCCTTTTGTGCTGAGAACCGTGCACTGTGGGAAAAGATTGATGGAATTGTTGTTGAAACATCATCATCAGCAGACAAGACCCCCATCTTGGCATGAGTGTATAATAGTTTTTAATTAAAAGACAAAGCGCAAATATTTATCTCTCTTAAAGTTTCCTGAGGGGAAATTTATACCGAAAACCTGTTGACAAACTTCGATTTGTTTGTTGTTTACACTTTTTTGCACTGTGCTGGGATGAGTATGTAGGTACCAGTGCGTATCTGCATGGCTATCGCCGCAATCTAATCGCCCTGCTTATCAGGTAATGGCTGCGTGCCAGGGCTGTGGTCCGATAAGCGATGTTACCTACAGCTCCCCGAGTCGGGGCGACGGCGGAGAGCCCACATCTCGTGATACGGGAGACAACAGAACCCAGTCAGAGCCCAGCTCAAGCCCAAACCAGCTACCAGCTGTGAGCCACTTGCCCGTTTTATAAACTAGTTTGGGCTGTTGCACTTTGCGAATTCTCATTTTTCGATAGTGCAAAATGTGTATTTCGCAGGACGGCCGAGGGGGTGGTGTGGCAGCGGGTGGGGGCCAGTGCAGCCCCGTCGACGGGCTACGCACACCAAAACACGTCGCGACGTCGGGCTTCGTCACTTGGCTCACCCGGCCGCGGCAGTAGTCTCTCCCACAAATTTCTCGGCGCTTTCCTGCAGTCGTCCCACGAACGTTGGCGCAAGAGCAGCTACCAGCTCGCGAATAAGTGATGTGCCTGCCACGCCCCTTCTAGTCACCGCCCCGGTCCTTGGGAGAAGCAGTAGCATATTGAGGAAAAGTGTCGAAAATAAATAACTCACAAACTTTAGGTTTTCGCAGCCGTCTAGTAACATTTGCTTTGTGAATCATTTGTGCTATAAACAAAGTGAAACAGTGCCCAGTGACATAATTTGGTGACAGTAACTACTAGTTATTAAAAATGCTGAAGCTATTCAAAAAGTCCAAAGACAAGATCCCCAAGTCGGAGATCATAACCGAGCCGAAGGAGCCCAAAACACCACCAGTCTCCAAGTGCGGAAAACCCCTCCAGCTGGACAACTGTCGATGGGAGGCAAGTAACCTAGAGCGTATCTGTGGGAACCCACTGAACTTTGGCCAGGTATTAGCCACTCAGCTGGCGATCGGTCATGCTGAACTTCTCCAAACAGTAATCCCCGGGGGTAGTCCGACTGCGAATTCCGGGGCCCCTTATGTGGTCGTCCTTTAATCACCAGCTCATTGTTTTTTGTGAGGAACGGGGCCACAATGTCCCCCAAAGCGATACGCGGGGGAGAAGGAAACCGCAAGACGGAACACAATCGACAGTTCTATAAATTTCAGTGACATTTGGTTTTATCTTATCGGGGACTGTCTGTATGTATTTGCGGCATTATGTACCCGTCATGTAGAGTATATTGGCGCTTGTAAGCCAAAGGAGAAATCGCGAGCCGATAAGATGGGCGGAAAAAATAATTTTTAAGCACTCCAATAAGAGAAAAGCGAAAAACAAAAGGCCCATTTGGCCCGGCTTTGTGTTGGTCCAAGATAAGATACTCCCGTCTCCCGTCTTCCGACTCCCGACATGCCAAGTCATTCACTAATTTGAGCTCTCCCTTTTTTGTTTCCCACCCACAGCGCCGGCTGCACAAAGAGTTGATGTCCCTGATCAAGGAGCCGCCACCGGGCGTTACCGTTGACACTGAGAGCGTACAGCAAAATTTATCCGAGTGAGTAGAGTGGGCCAAGTTCAGCGAAAACTGAAACCGAAACTGGTTTACATTAAGCGCGCTTAAAATAAAAAATAAAACATGCCGAAAACAATGCCTGCAATTGTGCTCATAAGTCTCTTTGGTGCCTCTCGATTACAGATGGAAAATAAATATTAAAGGTTTCGAGGGCACACTTTACGAGGGCGAGGACTTCCAGCTGCTGTTCAAATTCAACAACAAATATCCCTTCGATTCGCCCGAGGTGAGTGCAACAAAGGAGGCTGCCCACAGTGCTTGTTTAAACATTCAACTCTTTTTTTTCCATATTAAGGTGACCTTCATTGGCAGCAACATACCAGTGCATCCCCATGTGTACAGCAATGGGCACATCTGCCTATCCATTCTGACCGAGGACTGGTCGCCGGCGCTGTCGGTGCAGTCGGTGTGCCTTAGCATAGCCTCCATGTTGAGCAGCTGTCGCGAGAAGAAGCGTCCGCCGGATAACACGCTCTACGTAAAGACCTGCAATAAAAATCCCAAAAAGACTAAATGGTGGTATCACGGTGCGTATGCGTGATTTTGTCTGCACTCCCCGAAAGCAAACAAACAAATAACTCATTCATTTTCTTGTGTTTATTGCAGACGACTCTGTTTAGTTAGAAATGCAATTTATGACTACTGCCTGCTGATTTTTGCTTTGCGCATCCAAATACACACCCACACGTATTTGAACACCAATTGAAACACAGGAGGAGAACAAGTCGAGAGCGAACGCCAATGCATCAGGATTTCGAAGCAATGGATAGTTCTCAGGGCGCCAACGCCCAATTCCAGACCCAAGTGAACTCGGATGCGGATGCAACCCGCTGCCGTTGCAGCAAAGCAAATCATGTCAACAAAGAAACTATCAGTAGTGTATCGCAAACAATCATAGCTCCGCCGGGCACTAGCATGTGGTTGCACGGCCCGCAGCCATTTCTAATACTAGCTGTATGTTCAATCATCCAAGGCGTGTGCGAAAAACTATATTTAAATGTTAACATTTTAATTAGATTGTTAAGACCAAATTTACGTCTAAATTAAACGTTATGCTACCTACTATTAGGCGCTATCGCTATCGGCCACCACTGTTCGTCCTGGCTATAGGTAGTTTCCGCCAGCCGCTGCCTCCACATTCCAAGAGCAAGCGACTCCGGCTCGAGAAGCGTGATCCACCCGAGTTTATGTTAAATGTGTATATTGATCATCTATATATGAAAGCATAGTTTTGAATTGTATTAAAGCACTCATTGTCATCTGTCCCGCACTCTGTAATCTTCCCCCATCGATCACCCATAGGCCTTAAGTTAACCAGTTCATATGTACTTGGCTAGGATAATCCATCTGTGGCCAAATCTCGCATCTGGCACGAGCGCAGAACATATTTACCTCTTACTGTGCAAGTAGTAATTAGAAAGCGGCGAGCTACTCGTCCGAAGTACCATATAATTTAACTATAACTCTGTGTACTGTATAAAGAGCCCGATAAAATCCATTGTATGTTTATCTAGCATATGTACTATGCCTATAATTATTTACTGTTAAAAGTATTTAAAAAATAAACAAAGTCTGTAATCAAGCAACGCCTGACCATTGTACTCTTCAAGCCCAAGGCCTCCCGACTGATGAATGATGACCCAATGAACTAGAAACGAGGCGTGCAAGTTGAACTCGCACAGCTGCCTCGTTTGATGGGTCAGCGAAAAACGTGTCTCGTATAAACGGTATTTTATTTCATAATAATAGGTTAATTAAGTAGTAGAGTTAACTTGATGGATTCGTATAGGACACATTTGTTCAACAAAGTAAGCGTTATGTGCTCGGGGCGCTATTGACCTGTTTCCTGCTCTGGCTTATCTAAGTGAGCAGCGACAGTCCCGCCGTGGGCGTGTAGTAGAGTCCTTGCAGGGCTTCCTGGAGGGCCCGTTCGCAAGCGATGGTAGAGGTAAAGCCACCGGCGTTCTCCTGCGGCGTATCTGCGCGAATATGCTGTATGTAGCCCTTGGCCTCGATTTCATCAAGCGGCGGGGGCGCAGGTCCTTCGGTCATGACCAACAACGGCTCATAGACAAACAGCGGTCCCTCCTCAGACTTGGGAACGGGCAGCAGCGAAGGATCTGCAGTCTGTCCGAACTTAATGCCCGTGGAGAACCCTGTTGCCGGCTTGGGTGGTGGCAGTTGCTTTTCCTCCTCGCGTTGTTTTTCCGCCTTTTCGGCAAACTCGTTGACGATCTGGGCGGCGTCTTTGCCGCTGTGCATGAGCTCTTCGATCAGAGCCTGCTTGTCGCGGGCCTTCTTTTTCTTGTGTTCGATCTCCAACTCCTCGAGTTCCTTCTTTCGGGACTCCTCCTGCACGCGTTCCATCTCGAGCATCTCCTCCAAGGCGTACTCATCGCGTCCGACACGCGTCTTGTTGCGCTGGATCACTTCGCGGTTGTCCCGCTTGTAGGCCTCGATGCGCTTGTTCGTCTCAAAGATGTCGATGTTGTTGCACAGGTTGAACACGATGTTTTCGATCTCTTCCAGATAGTCGTTGTACTCCTCCAGCGTGGCAAAGTCTTCCTCGCGCTTGTTGTAGTCGCGTAGTATCCGCCGCCTTATGTCCACCTCCTTCTCCACCATGGGATCCTCGAAGAGCTGCACGCGGAAGTTGTTTCGGCGCAGGGGCACCATGCACTCCGGGCAGGCGCCAGATCCTTTGAGGAAAAGCAAATCTACACAAGATTCGCAAAGGGTGTGTCCGCAAACGTTGACCATCAACTTTAGCGATGGGTTGCGGTACTTGGTGGTCTTGCACCGCGGGCAAGCCTGGTCATCCATGGCAGTTGGCTTTATTTATGTCCTATCTGCCAAAAACCAAAATAAAGCCGCCGGCAAAGAAAACAAAACAAACGATAGTCGATGATAGTTTGCGCGCTTTCGAGCACTAAAAAGGGGGCGGGCGGCGTTACCAGCCTGGTCATACCAAACACCCAAATAAATAGTCAGGCAGCCCTGCCGATGGTCGGTGTTGAAAAATATGCCATTGTTTGGCGGCCAATTTGAATTTAAAGCTGCTGTTACAACTTTAAAATAAGTACAATTCTGCAGTCCTTTTACCTTATAAGCCATTTCGAATTCTTAATAGTTAGTAGTAAAATCCCATTAGACATTCTTTTAACATTTTTATTTCAAACAGCATACGCGGTAGTTGTTCACATTAAGAGTAGAGTTTAAATATGTTTCTTTAAATGTACACGTATTTTTATGACATACGTATTTTGATATATGTTTTGAGTGTATTCATTAAATAATTCAATAATTTACATTAATCAAACCCAGTAGCAGCCTTCGCAGGACACCCCATCGGGCGCCCAGCAAGGAGCTTCGGCTTGTGTTACATTTGTTTTAGCTGCTTATTAACATTTACATTAAATACATTCAATAAACAGTAGTAGTGACAACGTCGTGTACCCCACTATAGGTGCAGGTGTACTCGAAGGTGTATGCTGGTGTGTAGATAAAAGCATTGCCAAGCAGTTGATCGAGGGGCCAGGACTCGGCGCCATGCCCGGTCCCGGATCCCGGGCCTGTTAGTTGCGTGTGTAATACTTGAGAGAAAGATTGTGGTGAGTGTGGTTGTGGGTGGGGTGCGATATAAAAGCACTGTTGAATACAAGGCGTACACCTAATATATTTAGACTAGCTTACGGGCTAAAAAGATGACCTAATCGATTTTACACAGATTGAATTAGTCGAATATATCGTTACTCTCGTTAATGTATACATATATATCTCGTATATATCTATATAGGGGTGGAGGAAAGAATATATGCAGAGACCGAACCTAAACAGAATCGAAGGCGTCTGGTTTTTGTATAGGTTCTCAACAAATTTGTCGATTCAATTGGAAATTGAACCACTGTAAATATCACAATTTAGTTAACACATATACAATTATAATAATAATAACTAAAATCAATGTACGTAAGCTGCTGTCGTCGTCAGCGGTAACAATAGATTCTACCAGTAATTACAGCAGCTGCATTTACAGGCTGCAGCTGTCTAGCCTAGTGTCGTCCTTAAAAGAGGGTGTGTCCCGAAGGTCCACTCCTAGCCCTGCAAGGCGGTGACCTCCTCCTCCAGGTCGCCGTCCACCTCATCGATCTTGGAGCCACTGCATCCTCGGCACTTGCAGCAGATGATGCACGGCGCGGCCAGGAGCAGCAGGGGCGAGGCCACCAGCAGCAGGATGCCGAAGCCGGCGAAGATCCCGATCACCTGGGCGCGATGCCACACCACGGAGGCCCGCGAGTGGCCCAGCTTGTTCTTGCAAGGACCCTTGTCGTAGTGGCGCAACAGGAAATCGTCCTGAAACATAAACAGAAATTAGGTATCTACATTTTTGGTAAAATATTCGTGAACTCACATCCAAACTGGCCAGGCAGTACCAGCAGAAGACGTGCTTGCACCGCTTGCACATCATCTGGGCACAGCCCTCGTCCTTCTCGATGGGCACCGCGCACATGGGGCAGCACTTGATGAGCTCGTTGTCGAATGGGATTCCGATGTCGTCCTGGCCATCGGCAATCAGCCGGCGGCCGAACTCGTCGCAGCTAATGTTCGGATGATACTGCAGGGAATATCCAAAAAAGAAAGGATTAGAATTGTTTCAAAATGCAATGATTAGTTGGACCTACCGCTTTCTTGCAGAGGGCGCAGAACTCGTCCTTGCAGGAGGGGCAGTGCACAGCAATGGAGAGCACTGCTGCCACCGAGCCCTGTTCACCGGCTCCTCCGCTGCCGCTGCCGCCGCCGCCTCCTCCACTCTCCTGCTGCGGCGTGTAGCTCTGCGAGGTGGACGGCGACTCGTCCATTTGGCAAATGGCGCTGGCTTGTCCCGGCTGGGCCCCCACCATGCAGATGGTCTCGCAGCCAGCCCGCGGACACCAGGTGCGCGTCTTGTCCAATTCGATTTCTGGCAAAGACCGAAAGAGGTTAGTAAGCCCGCTCGAAAGGGGGTGCATGGCTCTGGAGGCTTACCTCGATTCAGACGGTAGCGATGGTGCTTCTTCAGCAGGTTCGTTGTGGTCAGGTTGGCGATCTCGGGCAGCGAAATGGCGCCCTGGGCCGGGCACTTGGCGTCCGGGCAGGAGATTTCGTAGGCCCCCTCGGAGATCTCAAACTCCACGTAGGCGCGCATGCACTGCAAGAAAAGGGTGGAGGTTAGCATGGCGACGAATTAGCTAAACAATTTGCACGTTCTTGGGGCTAATCCGAGTTAGGCTAAGGATATAACTCACTCACGGAGGACGAAGTTTGTCGGGGCATTTAGCAAGTTTGGCTGGCATAGTTTGGGCCAGCCGCAAAGCTGTGGCTGTCAGAATTATTTCATTTTCCCCCCCACACACCTCTCCCGCACACACATAGTGGCCCACAAAAGTTGGCCCACCGCCCGCCTGTGCGGAAGCTTTTATAAATAAAGATTTAAAAAGTTTTCCCTTTCCTTCCTTTGCGGCTGGCACATTAAAGTAATGGAATTGCCAACGGAACTGCTGGAAACTCTCAAATGCTTCGACACCGACAATATTTTCCCTTTTTGCCACTACGCCCAATCCCCCCAAACCCACCTCCCTGATGAATTAAGGGGCAAGCGGAGGGGCAGCTGTTTGGGCAGCCAAAGCAAACGGCATTTGGTGAAAACTTTCTACGTCCGTTCTATAAAAAGTGTCTCCTGCGGCCATCCCGCCCACAGCCCACAGCCCTCCTCTCCTGCCTCCTTTGGCCAACTCCCTGCTTAGCCCTCCTCTCCTGCCCCCTTTGGCCAACTCCCTGTTTAGCCGTAAATAATTAAAAGTGAATTCTCTCCTTTCTCTCGGGCGGGCGCCTTTTTTGGATGAATTTCAGCATCCTGGAAACTTTCTGTTTGCCTTTTGCAGGAATATCCAAACTAGGTATTGTGTTCTAATGAAACTTTCCATTTAAAGCAGCTGCACTCTGTGTACTCAAAGAAATTGGGTTTCCAAAGTACCACTATGAGTGCAGTATTTTTGGTAGAAAGTGCATCTCACTTAGAAATCATAAACAAGATACATCCTCGTCCTAATCACTGACCATCTCTAGAACTATATACAACAATAGAATATTTTCCCAGGTGTATCCTGTGCTTAATCCTGCGTTGAAGGCTTCACCTGGCCATCAGTCAGCTAGCCCGGCCGCAGCCACAGCCTCCGGATTACAATGCGCGGCAAAGGCTTCAGCCGGGATCCGGCATGGGGCAGGCTGGCAGGCAGATAGTGGCTGGCCAGATGGCTGCCAGCCAGTTGGTGCCACAATTTAGTGGCCTGCAGCCCGGATTGCGGTGCATCGGATGCGATGTCGGCCTTTCCTGACGGCACCTCCTTTGTGGCAGCCACCAGCGCTCCGGCGCACATACTTTTCGATTTATCGATGCTGCCGATACGGGCTGGCGGGGATTATGGTTTTGGCACACAAATTTATTGGCAGTATCGGGTGGCTGAACCCTGCAGTACTGCCGCCCTCCGAAAAGGTTTAATTAAATTCCCAAAAATCAATACCAAAGCATTCCAGTTGGCAAGTGGTTCTCCCGGCTGGGTCCTGGGTGACAGATGTGTAAATTTGTCAACCGAATAAATGTCGAATATCACCACATAAAACATTTATGAGGCAAACACACAAGCGGAGCTGGGGGCAGGGCAGAGGCCCTGACAATTGAAAAGACAAATCTTCTCCATTACGGAAGGGCCATGGCAACCTTTGTGGTCCCTGGCCCGACGATTGTAGAGGCCATTTAAAAAGCCAACTGCCACAACAAGATTACGAGTGTGTTGTCTCTGTGTGTGTAAATTAGTATTAATAATGCCAGTCCTGGACATGAAATATGCGCCACTCCGCTCGCCGGGACAGGAAGAGAAAGTTTGCGTTTAATGCATGAATTTATTTGTACTTTATCAGCTGCAGTGCTCGTCCTCGCAAGGAGACATCTCCGCAGTTATTGCCGAATAATTCTGATATATGGCTGTATATGTACTTCTGCTTCCGTCCCTGGGGGGAGTGGGTTCTGTTTATGTTTGCTTATGCTCAAGGACTTGCCTTTGAATGTAAAAGTTTCCTCAATTTAAATTATTCACGCTAGAAAGCAACTCAATCAAAGAGAAGACATTTGAGAGCGTGATGGTCGCCAACTTTTCTGGGCGGAGTATCCGAAGCATAGTACTTAAATATTATGTTTATAATTTTATTAAAAAGTTGGTACTTTGCTTTAAAAATGCATGTCATTTTCTGTATTCCACAAGGACATAAGCTCGTGATTCATTTGGTATAATTTTGTCGGAAGAAAGGATCTAATCAGCGTGAATTGTAGCATACTTTCCAGCGAGCCACCTGTTCGGGGCCAGCAGAGTGCGAAAAATATCAAAGATGCATTAAGCGGCCACGTTCATAAAAAGCTTAATGAATGCCAGACAGAACCACATATAGACACTGCTACACAGAGAGAAATACTTCTAGAGATTTGTAGAATTTTTAAGATCATAAGCTTGATACTTTATCCTTAGCTTGGCTTTAAAATAAGGGTCCAAGATGGGTTCCTTAAAGAAGACCTTCCCTGATAGTACTTCCCAACTTGCAACCACTTCTTTTCTCACCGTGTAGCTGTAAGCCCGGCCAGCAGATATTGCCAATTACACGCACGCTCGCCCCAAATAAAAGCCACTGAAGGCGAGACACGCGCATTCTGGCATCCCGGCATCCCGACATCCTGGACGCTGTAATCTAACTCATTAGCGGCGACACTTTAATTAATATGCCACCTCATCGTTGTCGGGCTCCGTGTCCTTGCCCCGGACTCTCCGCTGGGTCCTGCGAGGTGACAGGCTCCCTGGCTGACCGGCAAATGAATTGCCATGCCAACGTGGCAAGACGCGTCATAAATGCAAATTTATGGCAAATGATTACATTAATGTCTGTTGCTGCCCGCCGCCATAAACTTTTAATGCCGCATTCTGATTTAATTAGCCTGATTTACACGGGACATCAGTGCTCCGGGACTTCGGGACCACAGGACTCCGGGCGGAGTGCGTTGAATGCCAATTGGCGGCTGACGGAGCCCTGGACAGATGCCAGTTGGCGGTGACAAGAGCCATGCGGTGACACCACTGATCTATTTATAGTTGGCGGCACTAACCCCATTCCCCTTCCAAGGAGCAACAATGTCCAGGAGGCGGAATCCGCTTAGCAGATGTCGGGGGTATTGTTGTTCCCGTGACTTGTTTGCGATATAATGCGATTGTGGGTCAGGACTGGAGGAGGAAGGACTGTTTTTAGAATTCCGCATGCGAGCCAAGGATAAAAACTGCGACTTAATGATGATGGCTTCAATTGAAATTCAAGCGCGACTCGCAACAAAGGAAGCAACAAATGTTGCAGAATAGAGGGATTGCCGTTAAAAGGATACTCTCAGAGAAAGTGATAGAATGTCAGAGTGCCTTCCTCAGGAGGAAAAGTATGGTAGTACAGTTCTCCAGCTAGACATATAGTTCGACCTTTAATCTGACAAAGCGCGAGGAATAAAGGCGATTGTTGACAAGGATTCCCATAAATAATGGCATTATCCTGCGAGTGTGCTACTCCCCTGACCCTGACATCCTGGCCGAGCCGAATGGAGCCCATTTGTGTGTGGAAATCTTCATAAGAGCCCCACAGCAACGACAACTATGGTATATGGCCCCACCTGACCCTCTCCTGGCAGCCCACCCCCGCTGTTTTTGTGTAAAATCGAATTTAAATTGCATGTCCAAAGTTCCACTTCCGTTTCCGCTTCCCGGTGCCCTGCCCTCGTCCTGTCCTTCTGCTCCGGAGCATTGAATTTCAATTGATTGGAAACGCTCGGACCATGACAGAGAACCCAGTTCTAATGCCAGTCCCCCTCCCGATAACGCCAACTATTTTGATAAAAAGGACAGGGGGGCGAGGGTATGAATTCAAGCCGGCATCTCTGCTAAGAGGATTTCGTTAAGTCGACTTTGCTCCTTTCTCCTCGGCGCTGAGCGGTATTTTTTGTGGCTCAGAGAATTATTTAAATTATGCCAAGTTCGGGCGAGTTTACGTTTCATTTTCAAACGACATTTCTGCGAGTTACTGGAGCGGCATTATTGGAGTGGAAGCTCCATTAAAAGCCCAGGTGGACAGGCATCCACCAGTGGGGATGAGCCAGCACTTTTCATTTCCGGTCTAGACGCAAAAATCCGAATCAATCTGCTGGTTTATTCAAATGCAATTGCGACCGGCCTGTGTTGGTCCAAATTAAAAGCAGGCTCTTAATGGAAATACATATTACCAGGCACTATATGAAATTTAACACATTTTTCAGGGCAAAATCCATTCTTTGAAAGTTATATCATTAAAGTAGAGAGTATTCATAATCAATCTTCAATGTTTCGTTCAAGAATTTCAATAGATGGTGCCAAAGTTATCAGCTACCAAAGACAGTCATCCCGATAGCAAAATCATGATTGTGTGTATTCATAAATTATATAATAAAATTATAGGCATAATTTCTAAGCATTTTTAAATGGGTTTAAGTAAGTGTGGTTTATATTATGTGTTTTTGACAATTAAATGTTGAAATCACTTGTTCTACCACCGAAATAAAGTGAAATGGTTCGAAAGAATTAGTTTCTAATAGAAACCTATTAAACAACAACATGATTTTCAAAAAGGGATATAAAGTGAGTCCAGAAGGGTCCCATCTATGAAATTCCTTGTCTGTTAAGGATAATATAATGGTTGTTCAAATAAGTGTAGTGCCCTTTTATGTACCATACTTTTAAAGAAGTTCATATTTGAAGGATGCATCCTCGGATACAACCTTTTAATGTAAATGACTAATGGAAGCTGTGGCACTAATGGAAAACTAATCTCTGTAACCTTTTTTGGTACTCTATCGATTTTCTATGGCTTTCGAAGAAAACCAACCTATATTAAAGAATAAACTCGTCTTTTATTTGCTGAATTTATATGCAAAGTGTAAAGAAAGACACTTTTGTGTAAAACTTTGTAAGATTTCCATAAAAATAGCGATATACAAGATAAAAAATAGTTCTTTTAAGTTAATGTTGACTAATATAACATAATTAAAATAAATAGACATACAATTACATTTTTTTCCAAGTTTTACCAAAAGAA